ATCAAATTTAGACCCCCTCTCCCATCCATGCCCCCCCATCTCCCCACCGGACCTCATGTATTCCACCATGCATGTTAAGTCCTATTCATTCAGGCATTTGTACCCAAATGTCCTTCAGTGTAAATTCGTCCACTGGAGTCTAGTCAGCCCATCTAGTGATTGTATGTAAATCACACTCTCCCTCACCCAGCAGCAATCAGTTTCCAATAGTTCTTAATCTAGGGCCAGCCTGCCACCCATTTCTCTCCTCCCTTTGGGCCCTTGTTTAATTGACTTGATGTGGGTCCTGTGCTTGATGCCCCCATTGCCACAAGTTCACATGTTCAAGCTTCCAGTGACCTGGAAGCCTCTGCTTCCCTGTGTTCATGAACCAGCCTTGGGTCTTACAATCTTTCCACCCCCTCTTTTGCAATGGTCCCTGAGCTGTGGGTGGATGAGGTTCCATATAGGAGCCCCGTCCTACACTCTACAGTCTCTTATTCTTTAAAACTTGGCCAGTTGTGGTCTTTTGTGTGCAATGCACTTTACTGGTGAGAGTTGAGAGGTGCATTAGTTTTCTCTCTACCCCTTATTCTGCTCTGTTCATGAACCTTAGTTGTAGAGGTTCAATTGTAGATGTAGCACCTGGTACTGGGCATCTCTCATATGTATGTTCTCTGTGTCTGACAGGATGTGCAGTTCTGCACCAGCCTCCATCGATTGCAAAAAGAAGTTTCTTTGATGAGTGGTATACGGTATGCATGTCTGTAAATATAAGGACTGATATTAGCATAAAGTAAGAAATTTCATTTGTCTAGAGATAAGAAAGAGATAGGGTTTTCACTAGGATCAGTGTCCTCTCCTGCCATGTGTATTTGGCTGAATTTTTTTCATTTAAAACTTTTATTGAATACTTGTGCATTTCATACAATAGATCTTAATCATATTTAGACCCCTCCCCTATAGTCAGTCTTAATAAAAAGTTTTTTTAATAAAAAAAAGATATTTCTCAGGTTGGAGAGTTGACTCAGGGGTTAAGAGCACTGGCTGTGCTTGCAGAAGAACAGGGTTCCATTCCCAGCACCCTAACAACTAACATCACAGCTAACAGCTGTCTATAATTCCAGTTTCAGGGGATCTAATATCTTCTGACCTCTGCAGGCATTGCACACACAGACCCATTTACATACATGCAGGCAAAACACTCATAGCATAAAGCAAAAATAAAAGATTAAAAATAAACCTTTTTAAAAAAAAAGATAATTCTCTTAGGATTGGGGATGTAGGTCGGGGTAGAGCATTTGCCTAGCATACATGAGGCCCTGGGTTCCAGCTCCAGCACCAGAAAATAAATAGTTCTATTGCATTTCCTAAATATTCCATCTTGTCACTTGCTTATGATAATAATTGACCTGTTCATTTCCTTTCACTAATACATAATGATAATTCTATTTTTATTTTTCTTTATTTTAAATAGTTTTATAATATTATAAAACATAGTGGTACCTCTATTTATGGAATGCAATATGATATAGCAATGCAGTATACAGAATGTTCTAGTCAGACCAGGGTAATTGGTCTATCCATCACTTTAAACAAGTATTTCTTTGAATACTTTGAATGGGAACATTCAAAATCTATTCTGCTAGCGGTTTTGAAAGAAACAATGCATTGTTAAACATAGTTAGTCTGCTGTGCATATTAGATGTCCTTTGTTCTGTGCAATTTTATGCTTGGGCTTGTTATCCATCTCCCCTGTCCCTTCCTAGCCTCTGCTAACCATTACTCTACTTTGTACTTCTCTTAGCTTCTAAATGTAATTCCATGCCTGCATCTTCCATTTTATTCCTCGCTTTGAATTTTAAAACAGCGGCTATTGATCTTTTAAAACATTGTGGCAGGTCTGGATAGATGGCTCAGCAGTTAAGAACACTGGTTGTTCTTGCAGAAGACCGAAAAAAAAAATTTTTTGAGACAGGGTCGGGTCTCCCTGCAACCCAGGCTGGCCTGGAACTCACTGTGTAGACCAGGCTGGCTTCAATCTCACAGAGATCTGCCTGCTCTGCTTCCCAAGTGCTGGGATTAAAGTCATGCACCACCACACCTGGCGATAAATATAATTTTTTGAAAAAGAATAAAATTTGGGACTGGAGAGATGGCTCAGCAGTTAAGAGCACTGACTGTTCTTGCAGAAGAACCAGGTTCGAATCCGAAGACCCACATGGCAGCTAACAACTGTCTGTAACTACAGTCCCAGGGGATCCGACAGCCTCTTCTGATCTCCGCCAGCATTGCATGACACGGGTGCACTTACTTACATGCAGGCAATACATGCGTACATATAAAATAAAAATTAAAAAGAAAACATTATGGCAAATCATCCTTTTGGTTTTGGTTACCACAAGAATATCAGATACAGATGCTGAGTTTAGACATGCCACATGATAACATTGTGTGTGTGAGGGGGGTGTATATATGTGAATGCAAGTATGCACACACGTGTGTACATAAGTGTGGAGGCCAGAGGTAGGTATTAGGTGTCTTCCTCAGTTGCGCTCCTCCTCATTTTTTTGAGGTAGAGTCTTTCATTGAACCTGAATTCACCAGTTCCTCTACACTGGCTGGCAGTGAACCCCAGGATCTATCTATCTCTTCCTTCCCCAGTACTAGGGTTACAAATGCATGCTTTGTACATGAGTGCATGCCAGGATCCAAACTCAGATCCCCAAATGCAGCAAGCACTTTACCAACAGCTGTTTCCCCAGCCCTGCATCCTTGAAGACATGTATGTGAGTAGATCCCTTCTGACCTATTGATGGGTATAATGCTTCTATTTGTAGGCTATTTATAGCATTCACCCTGTATAATGATGTGGCATTTACTAGAAATTGGGCACTCTGTTTAGCAATCTTGCATTTTATCTAAATCAAAGATGCCTCTTCTTTTTTTCTTTGTGCCTTATCAGGTTTGGTTAATAGGCTTGTGTTAGCTTCATCAAGCAAACAGCCCCTTTTTTCCTAAATCCTGAAAACATCTTATATAATTAGCTAATCTTTGAAATAAACCATTTATATTTTTTTCAGCTTTTCTATTTTGGGTTCAATTTTATAATTAAATACCACATTAGAGAACTGTTTTCATTGAGATCCTGCCGTTTGTTCCCCAAAATATTAAGTACTTTAAATTTTTTAGCCTTTCCACTTCTGCGATACATTTCTCAAGTAATTCTATTTTCACATTTGATTTTAAGGCTAGATTTTCCAGGAATCAGTCTATGAGGTTTTACAGTTTTCAAAGAATCAAGTTTGTTTTTTTAAATATTTAAATCACATGTTCTTGCTTTTCCATATATACACAAATTTATTTTCTAAATTAAGTGAATTTAAATGTTTAGTTCATTTCTTTGTTCTCTCCAATTAAAAAAATAAAATACTAACGATTACTTGTGTCACAACTGAAATGGTGCTGTTTTCACTCCCCACATACAAAATAAAATCAACACACTTTTATCTACTCCCATCTATTCCTCCATTTTTAATGACAGCTAGGATTTCATACTTAAGTGGAACTAGATATTATAATAAAGATTTTATTACATATATTTTTCCAAAATTTTTGGAAGTTTGCACTTCAAATGTTCTAATAATTATCGCCCTTTGTCCCTATTTCCCTAATTCCAATGCTACTCAGCAAATACTTTTTCAAACTTAATTTTTTATGTTTATGAGTATTTTGCCTGCATGTATGTAAGTGCACCCATGTCATACAATGCCCACCAAGGCCAAGAGTTACAGGCAGTTATGAGCCACCATGTGGGTGCTTGGCACCAACCCTCAGTCCTTTGCAAGTGCAGTCAGCACTCTTAACCACTGAGCAATCTCTCCAGTCCCCTCAATCTTAAATTTTAATCCTTCCATTGGTCCTCTAGCACATTCATAAAGATACACAGTTGATAAATTTCTAGGCACATCTGCTTTTATTTTAGAATCTTCAAACACTGTACTCAGTTGGGCAGCACATATACAGAAACTACAAACAGCCAGGTAGCTGTTACTATAGTAACAGAAAAACCACAAACCCAAATCTTCCTGAATGCCACCTCCCAACCACCTTGCACAGACGTAAGCTGGGAGAAATTGTGGGACAGAGCCATAAAGAATGCAAGAGTAGACTTGGCCATGCTCTTGAGAGCTGCTCCCACCTGGGGAAGGCATGTATTTTGGAGATAGGGATGCTGTGACTAAAACTGGTTGAAGTCTTTTCTCTCCTTGTGCTCTCTGTTTCATGGCCTCTGGGTTCATCTCTCCTTTATTAAGTTTTTCTGGATTCATTGAAGTGATTGGACTTACTTGCTTTTAGAACTATTGAAAGTTCAAGTCTTCTGAATTTTCTGAGTAGGGGAAAAGTCAAAGATAACTGGATATCGGTAACTTTCCAGCACCACATCCTGTAAGACTTTGGGGGATTTTTATTAACTGTTTATGACAATTTTAGAATTGTTATGGCATTTTCCTGGAAAAATTCTCAACTTCTTGCAGCCAATCTTCATTTTGCTGCTTCAAATTAACTCTCATATCTCATTCATGTTCCATGAAAGTAATCTGGGACCTGGAGAATAGGAAACAGAAAGAAAGAGCACTCACTATACAAGCTAGGAGCTGAGTTCAAGTCCACAGCACCCATGTAAAAAGCCAGGTGTGGTCACATATGCCTGTAGTCCCAGTTTTCTGGGGTGGAGGGAGGCAGAGACCAAAGGATCCCTGAGGCTTGCTGGCCTCCAGGTTCAGTGAGACCCAGTCTTAAAGGAATACAGTGCAGAGTGATAGGGCAGGACACCCAGCATCCTCCTCCCTCCTCTGTTCTGGCCACCCATGCAAGGTGCTCATACACCCCCCCACACACACACGCACATGCACATGCACACACACACACACACACACACACACACTTGCATAGTAAACAAAAGAATTCTGAAAATTAATATTTCAGTAAAAAGCAATTTATTTTTTTGTTTCTACTCAGGTGAAGGCTGATGTTAGGAGTCATGGGTGAAGACAATCAAAAGGTAAGCTGGAGCCAGAAACATCGGCTGTTTCCTTTTCCCTCTCTTCTTTTTTGTTTTTTGCTTGATGATGAAATATATGTCAAAGGGTTAATGTGTTTATGTGTACATTTATTAGGCATTTTATATACGTATACTCTGAAACCAAACTTTTCTATTTTAAGTAGTTTTTAAATGGGGAAAACTATTTTCAAATAGTGTTTAACTATTTTGTAAAACCGAATAACAAATACCATTGCCACAGAATAAGAGATGAAAATGCTTAGTTTCCAGTAACATACCCCGAGGATGAGCGTGGGGTAAGAATGTCCACCATGGCATGGCCTGCTTCTTCCAACAAGCCTGCTAAGAGTTGATAGTTAAGTGTTTCTTTCTTGGGGCTGGAGAGATGGCTCAGTGGTTAAGAGCACTGGCTGCTCTTGAGAACCTGGGTTCAATTCCCAGCCCCCATATGGTGGCTAACAACCATCCATAATGCCAGTTCCAGGGGATCTGATACCCTCTTCTGACCTCTGCAGGCCTTGTACAACACGGGTGCACTTACATATATGCAGGTGATACACTCATACACATAAAACAAAAATAATAAAACATTTTAAATAAAAAAGTGTTTCTCTTTATTTTGCATTTTTATTAAATTTTTGCAATTTCATACAGTATAGTTTGATGGCATTTAGATCCACTCCCCTCTCCCGACTGCCCCCACTGCCCTTCGCCCAATTTAATGAACTCATATATACATATATATATATATATATATGGCTTATAGAGTATGATTTGTGTTCCCCAATGTCCTTCAATGTAGCTATTTCCTTTAAATGTTTTTGATAGGCCAAAAAAGTTATTTGTCACTCTTCCTCAAGATTTAAAAATCTCACTGTTGTGCTATGGTGGTGGCACTTGAAAGCCACAATGAGTGGTAGAAGTCAAAGGGGGGGACATGCATTTTTGATAGGTCCAGGAAGTTGTTTTACTGTTTCTTTCCATCGCACTTTAGCGCACCATACTCAGACTACATTAGAAGCTATTTGTCAGGACCTCAAGTGATAAACATCGCTCAATAGCATAGGTAAAGTGGTAGGAAACTCCTTTTGTTAAGCACAGTGTTATCACTTTTATGAAGGTTTATACTTCAATTTTATAACAAAATGAAAAGCTGAAGTCCAACATTGGGTTACAGTCTCATTGCCTTAACCCACAAAGTAATAACGTTTTTCAGGAGTCATAAATGTTTGATGAGCTGAGTTATTCTTGAAGCATTTCTGTTATCACAAAGATAGTATTTTTTAATGTTTTGTTACTTTTATGTGTATGAGTATTTGCCTACATATATGTAAGTGTACCATGTTTTCAGTGCTCACGGAGGCCAGGAGAGGGTGTCAGATGCCTTGGAACTGGAGTTACAGATGCTTGTTAGCTGCTGTGTGGGTTCTGAGAACTGAACCCAGGTCCTCTGCAAGAGCAGCCAGTGCTCTTAACCATTGAACATCTCTCCAGATCCACAAAGACAGTATTTTAATGGACTCAAGATTGCTTGGCTTGCATCAGAGTTCATCAGTGTTTTGTTAACTGATAAGATAATGGTTTTTCTCCTGCAGGTCTTCATTACTGGCAGGAAAAGTCCTATAAATTCTATTGCTTAATTTATGTCTAGAATGCCGACTAGTTTAAAAATTAAAAGTTTGAGCTCCAGAGCTGGTTTATCCATTAGGCACAGTGCTCAGGGCCACTTACAGTGAACTATAAAAATATTCTAATCACTTTTCAAAATATAAGAAAAAATATAGTGATGAATATATGGTATTGGACCCAAGTTACATTTGTCTTGATGCAATGTAGCTGAAATACATGATTTTTAATACTTTTTATGGGAGAAGGAGCCGAAAGGCCAAAATGCCCAAAGCTCATAGGAGCCTTATGTTCTCACCAGAGTCATTCACTTGAGAGGACTCAGCAGACATGGAAGAATTTTATGAAGAATAGACAATTTTTTTAAAGAAAGGATTAAGTTCTCTGGGGCTAGAGAGACGATTCAGTGGTTAAGAGAACTGGCTGCTCTTGCAGAGAATCTGGGTTCAATCCTCAGCACCCACTAGTGACTAACAGCCATCTATAACTCCAGTTCCAGGGATCCAATGACCTCTTCTGACCTCCATGAGCATTGCACAACACAGGTGCACTTACATACATGCAAGCAATACACTCATACATATAAAATTAAAACAGTAATTCAAATTTAAAAAAAAAAAAAACATTTTTTTAAAGAAAGGATTACAAGCCAGGTGTGGTCCCCAGCACTTGGGAGGCAGAGGCAGGTGGATCTCTTAAGTTCCAAGGCCAGCCTTGTCTACATAGCAAGTTCCAGGCTAGCTGTGGCTACAGGGAGACCCTGTCTCAAAAACACAGAAAGAAAGAAAGAAAGAAAGAAAGAAAGAAAGAAAGAAAGAAAGAAGGAAGGAAGGAAGGAAGGAAGGAAGGAAGGAAAGAAGGAAGGAAGGAGAGAGAGAGAAAGGATTACATTCTTTGCAAATAAATCTATAGATAACATCTGCTTCTTAGAGTGATATGTAGTTCTATGTACAAAGAAAGAAAAACTTACATATTGGTAGTTAAAATGGTTGAAATTATTTATTGCTTTCCTAAAATGAAATAAGTGTTTTTCACTCTAGACACCTGTGGTGATAGGATGCAGACGGTAAGGGAAGAGTGAAACTTGACTTGGAGGTCCTGTGGTTCCAGTTGCCCACGAGTCACCTGGAGGTGTGTTCCTAGGCAACAGTGGCCGATTGTGACTCCTTGCATCCATTTGTAGACAGAGTCCAGAATTATAGTTCTGGAGTTGTGACCGATGTTATTGAATTTAAATGTTTTCTGTGAAAACACTGGTTTCATTTGCTTTCAAAGTTATGTTCCTGTTTTGCAGAATTTTTGTTGTTGTTGTTGTTAGTTTTCAACATCAGGGACTGACTAGCAATTATGCCGAGAGTATCTTCTCAAAGTTACTTGTTGATTTGAAGTAAACATATTGCCCGTTGGGGGAACTTCTGTTTTTGAGTATCAACTCCCTGAAGTCTAGGATCTTTATATGTTTTTTGACTGCTTTAGACTTTAGGAAAAAAACGAACTTATAAGAGAAGCCCAAATGTTTCCTGGAAGAATGAGCTCATTTCCTCTTTAGAAAAGTTGGCTCTACCTCTGAAATAGCCTCCTGTTGCTTTGGGTATGGAAGAACACTGCAGATCCTTTGTTCTCTGGTAGCAAAAGTCTTGGCAGGTATGCAGAAATTTATATGATCCTTCAGTAGAAAGCAATTGCCTGGGACCCAGCTCCCCACAAGCTGTAGATGAAGCCAGCTAGCCTCCTAGGTGAGCACCTATGCAGCTTAAGTTCTTTGTTGACAGTGCCACTGGGTGCTACTTAACCAAGTTGAGACAGTAAATTCTAGACAGAGATGCTGCCTCTATTCTGTTACTGACGATCTAAGTCTAGGAATGTAAATTGAAGGAATCGACTGACTGTGATTCGTATGTCTAGGTTAGGTAGCTCCAACACACAGAAACTTCACATACCAGAGAAAGATAGGTCTATGTGAACAGACTGTGGGCTGATTCACTTGGGAGGAACTAGATGTGCAAGGCCTTTCTGTTGGTGTGATGTGTGCCCAGGTGTGCATCTTTAAGACTGCGATTTTCAGGTACTACCAAAAAAAAAAAAAAAAAAATATTTTTTTTTTTTTCCTGAATAAGAGTATCCCTGTATGCTAGTCCCTGTGCCTTCTTGTCTAGGGCTTCCCTAGCCTGGATCTTTGATGAAGGGATGTCAGGACAGAGCTGCTGCTCAGAATGCATGGCAAAGGGCTGCCTAGGGAGCAGAAGGATGTCCATTGCGGTGCCAAGGACATACCAGGCTTTGAGGTGCTGTGGACGTACTAATCTTTGCTCTTCTACCACTTTCTGAGCCACTGTTGAGTAGAGTAATGGTCCAGAGGAGTGTTTAGAATAGTAGGTTTCCCATACTGGATATTGCTATTACTGAGCAAAGTCATGAACATGATCCGCAGTGCCTGCAGCTTTCCATGTACTGGGCTCCTCTCCAGAGGGCGAATATTGTGCTGTAGTTTCCTCCCTCCCCATCTGAGGTGTTCCTCCTTCCTGAGAAAGAGGACCACCCACTGTACTCACTCCAGGTCAGTAGATGACTGTGGTACTTCAGAAGCATGTGATCTTGCAGCTGAAGTTTTTGTGGGATTGAAATTGTGGCTTTTTACCCATGAAACTTACCAACGATATGGTAAATAGGCATGCTGGGGAGAGAGTCGACTCTTCATGCCTTTCGTGGGTCTTTTAGGTGACCTTGTCACTGTGCCCCAGGGCCCTGTAAGTGTCTGACTCAGAGCTGATAGATTTGTCTGAAGTCAGATATAAGCAATAATCAGTGTCTACAGCATTAATGATTCACATGGTGAATAAATAACGTGCTGTATTGAGCTAGACATTGCCAATACAACCATCTGGTGGAATTCTTGGCAGAGTGTGGGAGAACGAGAACTTGAATGCAGCATGTGATCTTTACAGAGTCGTTGAAGTACTTTCCTTCAGTTTTATCTGCTGCAAAATCTTCCAATCCTGCCAGTGTGTGGATGATGACTTTTTTAAATATATAAAGATTAAAGTTTCACAAAGTAGAATAGTGGCAAAATACAGTATTATATCATTCCGGAAAAATGTATAGATTTGACTCTACTTCTGCATTTGGCATTGCTCTTAGACCTTTACAATGTATCTCTAGGAAGTCTGCATATTGTCTTAGTTAGCTTTCTATTGCTGTGATAAAACAACGAAACAAATTTGGGGAGGAAAGGGTCTGTTTCTCCTTCAGCTTCCAGTTCATCATGGAGGGAAGACAGGGGAAGGGCTCAGTGCAGGAACCAAAGGACATACCATGGAGGAGTGCTGCTTACTGGCTTCCTCTCCTGGCCCATACTCAGCCTGATTTTTTTATAC